GTGGCTGCAATGATGGGCTCAAGTATAGCAAGGATTGTGAAGCTGGCACAGGACCGGGCAGTGCTTCATTCTGTTGTACATGAGGTCGCTATGAGTCAGAGCTGGCTCAAGGGCACTAACAACAACATGAAGGAGGCCAAAGACCACAGTTCACCGGAACGTGTGCCACTAGGGGATGTATACAGCTTGAGAAGCACAGAGATGGTGTCACCTTGGCCATCCACATGCCCAGTTCCTGTCATAAATCCTTGAGACAATCACCAAACAGACTAAAGTCAATGCTGCTTGGCTTGACATGGTAGGGCCTTCAGAGACCAGCTCTGGTGACCTCACCAACTAAGTAGAATTTGTCCCTAGACTTCATTCATTCCTAGTGCCAAACTTTCTTCACATAGATCCTTCTGCCTGGAATGCCTTTCTTTCTCTACTTTTTGCATGTAGGATTCCTGAACTCCTTTTAAGACATAGCTCAAATTGTTAGAATTTTAACTAACATTTAAAAAGCTCTTTCCTGTGTGTCAGCCCCTGCTCTTGGTAGTTTACACGTGTCCTCTCTCTAAACCTCTCCTGCATGAGGATCCCCTTCCTTGTGCCCATTGATAAGCCTGCCTGGAAGGGCTCAGCCCTAGCTGATTATACCTACTGGTCCTTCCCTGGACTAGAGAAAAGCTTGTGGAATTGTAGAATACAGTGCTTGACACATGGTAGGTGCTCAATGAAACAGTAGTTAAGTCAGCATATTTGCAACAACATTCCCCCTCACCTCCTAAAAACCCCTCATTCATACAAATCCAAAAGTAGTTCATTCAATAAATCCGTGAGTGCCTACTATGTGTCAGGTGCTGGCTGGGTACACAGTGCCGCTTCTATTATGCAAAAGCCTATACTTTTACATGTTTTTGCAAACAGGCCAGAAGCTAGGGCTTCATGCTCACTCATCCTGCTTACAATGTGCCCTGGTCCCATCTGGGGCTGCAGCTGAATCAAAGTTGGCCTTCTGAAGACCAACCAAAGAACCTTTATAATCACAAGAGGCAGAAACTAGTTGGAGAGCAAAATGACCAGGTTCTGTTGCCCCCTGCTGTCCATGTGCTCTGCTGGGAGCCCCCCTGCATCCTATGACACAAGTTGGGGAGCAGTGAGAAGGTGTTGAGGTCAGAATCATCTCACATGGTGGTGTACTCTATGCAAATCCAGATTTCCATTTGTGAGGCATGGCCCTAGCAGGCCAGAGGGCTGCCCGTTCTGCTAGGGTGCCACCACCTGTCCGTGTCATAACTACCTTCTTGGACCCTTTGGGGTGGTCATAGTCCTCACACCAGTCCTCCACCCTAATGGAAGCCCCAGATGGGTGATCCAAGTGGGGCTTATCTGAACCAGGATGTACAAGCCCTGCCCAGCATATCTATAGTCAGATGTCTGCTACACCAATTGTTGGGCTGGCAGCCCTTTCTCACCACTCCAGGGCTAGCACCTTTCCCCTGGGACCTCCCCACTTCTTCCTGGGGCCCAGTCTTAACTCAGGCCCTCTTGGGCCACATTTATTCTCATCCATTACTTTGCAACAGTCTCCTACAGTTCTCCTGGCCTACACTCCCCTCTCCTTGGCCCAGCTTAGCCATTGTAGCTAAATCTGATCTCCCAAATAAAACCCTGCCCACTCTCCATAATTCTTTCCCCATCATCTCTAGCTGTACCTTTTCCCTCAACCCAGGCACAAGACCTGAAGACCTCTTCTTCCCCCAGTTCTCCCTACACACCTTGACTGGCCTGACTTCTACATGGAGTTTGGCCTACCTGCCTCAGACAAATACCTCTATATGCTGCAGAAGCCCATTCTGGTGTCACTGGTGGTCAGGTCTATAGTTGAGCAGCATGGGGCTGCATCAGCCTAGAGGAAGAGGTGCCCTTTTAGAAATTCATTCATAAAGGAGTATTGTTGTCTTTTTCTACTTTACTAGGTAGACACTCTGAACCATTGCTCCCATAGTATTCTGAACGCTCACAGCACTGAGACCATGTTTCCCTAGGTCCAGTGGCACACCTGACTCATGCTGGATCTACTTTATATGTTTCCTTTCAACACACAATATTGTACATACAATACAATATACAAGCAAGGTCTGGGCTAGCCCTGGATTCAGCACTGGCCTCTTCAGTGGAAAAGAGGGCAGGTGCAGCTCTGCTCTCCTAGAGCAAGCTGTGCACACATCTGCCTCCTCTAAACAGTCAGCTCCTTATCCAGCTGCCCCCCCCCCCCAGTGTCATTCTCTCCCTGCGGCCCCATGAGGGAAGGAGCCCTTGCCTGGCCCTACTCTGTCTCTCTGGGGCCAGACTGGATGGGAATAAGCACAGAATTCTACTAAAGAATGACATCATGTTGGGGTCCTCTTCTCTTTCTGGTTGAGCCTAAGGGATTTGGCTGCTGCCACAGGACCCTGGAGATTATAAGGCAGAGTGTGTTCTTGGCTGTTCTCACTAAACCACAGTTCTTAGCCCAGGAGTCCCCTCTGCTCCCAGAGAAAGGCTAGGGTCCAGGTGAAGTCCCAAGCTGAAAAGGCATATGACCTGGAAATGTCCCAACATGTGTCTAGGGTCTTACATGAAGTGAGTGCCACATACCTGTTTTCAGTCTCTCATTCTTATGCCATGGCATTCTGAGGGAATTCCTTTTTGTATTAAGAAGCCTGGCCTCTGTGAAAAGAGCTGCCACCTTCCCCAAGGGTCTTCCTGCTCAAGCACTCTGAAAGCCCTCCGCAATCCCTCAATGAGGCAGATCCCCAGTCTCCCATTTGGCAAAGTACCTGGCCATTTTGGAAAACACTCCACAAGGAAGCAGGACAATAAGGTCACTCTGAGTCAGTGATCTGCTGAACCCCACAGGCTGCTGATGAGCTCTGTCACACACATCTCTGCAGCCTCCAGGCAGCTCCTGGCAACCACATAAGACCCAGGCTTCAGAGAGCTGCCCTTGGACTCATGGCTGAGAGGGGTCTTCAGAGGGTAGGGCAAAGGGTCTCTGGCACTGCAGAGAGGCTCTAAGACCACCAACCAGACAACAAATGGTGCTTATTAATATCATCATCATCATCATCATCATCATTATTTTGAAAACCCCTGTCCCCAGCTTGAGGCTCGACCTTGACTGTTAGATGCCCACATCAGGCCCAGAATGGCCCTGTATTCCTGTCCTTGGACATGAGCAGACAGAAGGAGCTTAGGGAGCTGAGGGGATTAGAGAGGCCTCCTCATTCAGGGTAGGCGTACCTGTGGCCTGACTTAGGTTAATGGTGGGGGTAGGGGAAAGTGATCACCTGGTCCACAACTTCCAGGTTAAGGAATGGCACAACCAAGCACTTAGCATTGGCTAATTAATTAAAACCTCAGATCAAACCCCAGTGACGATGAGCAAGTCGATGACCCTTTGAATCTCAAGAGAAAGGGGATGGTACTACCAATTTCCTAGGATTTGCTGTGAATATTACTGTGTTTTTATGCAAATAACATTCATGTTATAAGGCTTTTTGCAAACCGTGCAATCCCCTGCATTTGTTTCCTAGCTATGTGTGTTATTTATGTGAGCATATTATTTGCAAAAAATACAATAAACAACATGCAAAACCTCAAGTAAGGATTTTAAAAGGGTCCACTTCCTCCTCTTCTTCTCTGATTCAACAAGAATCTTATTACTTCCTCTGATGCTGTTGTTTGAATGTAAAATAATAATAAACACTAAAATTCATGAGCATTCACTCGTGGCACAGTGTTAAGCTTCTTGGCTGTTAACTGAAAAGTCCATGGTTCAAACCCACCAGCCCCTCCTCAGGAGAATGCTGTGGCAGTCTGCTTCCATAAATATTTGCAGCCTTGGAAATCCTATGGGGCAGTTCTACTTTTTATCCTTTAGGGTTGCTATGAGGCAGCAAAGGAGCTCTGGTAGCACAGTGCCTAAGGCACTTGATTGCTAACTAGAAGGCTGGCGGTTCAAACCCACCAGCCACTCCTTGGAAGGAAGGTTGGGCAATCTTACTTCTGTAGTGATACCCCAAGGAGGGGTCGCTAGGAGTCAGGGCTGACTCGATGGCACATAACAACAAGAAGAGGCAGCAAAGGATTTGGTTTTGAATGGGTTAGGCCTAGTTTAAAGCCAGTTTAAAGATCAACCACTTCACAGACATTATTCCACTAACTGCACATGGCTGCGGGTGGAGACCCTTTAGTAGCATTATACCCCAGAGCAACCAGAGGCTCAAAGAGGAGAGTGGCTGTGACAGCATTAGAACTGGTGAATGAATGGGCCTGTGGTGAGACCCCGGGCGTGGGTGTGTGTGGGAGTGCTGGGCATCCTGCAGGGGTCCTCATAGCCACTTGGCACAATTACCGGCTGACTCCTGTGAAGGACAAGGGAGGGACTGGCAGCAATGGGGACACAAGCCCTCTGCAGAGCTGAGGAGTCAAGTGAACCCCACTTTACAGACATCATGCACTCAGGCTGGAGGGTGAGAAAGCAGAGGTCTTGAAGAAACCCCCAGGCCTGGGATCAGGAGGCCCCAGGTCAGTCCTGGTTAAGTCGCTGAGCTACTCTAGAACCCCAGGGACCAATACCCTTGGTTTCTGGTACCCAGGGAAAGGAAAAGGGCGCAGTAAGTCTGTTCCCAGTTTTGGCCAAAGAGGAGTGGGTTCAGGGCCTACTCCTGCACGAAGATTGTCCCCACCAGACGGGGATGGGGGCGGGAGAACTGGAGGGAGATTGTTGTGGGCGCGCAGGGAGCAAGGCCGCCTATCTCACTCAGCACACTCAGCGCCTTCCCAAACTCGGCCGCGAGCCCACAGTAACACGGGGAGGGGTGGCTGGGTGGCCCGGGGGGTTCTGAGAGGACGGCTTGTCAGCCCGGTGGGGGACTCGGCGGCTGCGGGAATATTAAGACCTCCATCCCTGGCCAAGGTCCCATAGCGCTCCAAAGATGGGGGTCAAGGACGAAGACCGGATGGGGACTTACCTGCGAACAGCCAGAGGGAGCCCCCCGACACAAGGAAAAAGGTCAGCATGTCGGTCAGCGGGGCCCGGCCTGGCCCTCACGGCCAATTCGGCCCGCAGCCCCGCAGCCCCGCAGCTCCAGCAGTCGCGGCGCCGCTGCCGCTGCCTCTACCGCCGG